GTGTGTGTGTGTCTGCCTTTGTAGTTTTTTCTCTCTTTCTCTCCATTCTATTCTTTCATCATCCTCACTCTTGCCTTCTTCCTATTTTCTCTTTCTTTTCATATTTTCATTCTCCTTCTAATCTGTTCTTGTAACTATAATTTTCTATAATTTCAACATAATATATTTTCCTCCAGTCCAACCATCACCCTCATGCACTTCCATCACCACGAGTATTATTACCCAGTCACCTCTTAATATTAAATCAATGGACGGTGTTATATCAACCCTAATCCTCCCCCCCCAAAAAAAATAATAAAAAAAATATAATAAAAACTGCCGTACTGTAAAAACTTCCATTGAACTATAAAAAAATATTTAAAATTTAATACTTTCGAAATGGTTGTATCCCATATTATTAGTGTTTTTACGTTTTATTTATTTTAATTTATTTTGCTGCATCGACTGCAAACTCTCAGTGCTAAATTATTATTTCTTATGCTAAAATTTCCCACTGTGTTCATCCCTACATATAATATTTTATTGTACATGTCGCTTTCACTGTTTCATGTATAAAATAATACACTGTGTGGGATGCCGGCCATTATTGTATTTTTTTTTTTACTATTCATTTTCGGAAAGTAGATATTCGATTTGGATTCCATGAAATTTCTGCTTAACCCTTAAGTACAGTGACCGAGGCTTCTGGTCCGTGTATATCACTGTCTATACCACCTCCAGCCATAAAACCTCCTCGGCAGTGACTTACCCCTAGTGACTACAATGTCTTAACCTCTCGAATACAATGACTTTAACCCCTTGTGTACGTGGGTCTGTCTGTGTGGAGTAGAATCGTTTGGGGATAATCCCTTGAGTGTGAAGTTATTAACCCCGAGTACTATGAATTAACCCTTGAGGACGATGTCTTAACCCTTTCAGTACGAGGAGATTGTACCCAGAGTTTAGTCGCTGCCTGAGGGACGGACACGATAATAATGATGGTGTGACGTTAAGAGTAATTAGCTTTAGTAGTGACGACTTTCTTCCTATGGTTTTTTTACTTCTTATTCTACATCACAAATACAAGTTATTATAATAATTCATCTCCATTATAATTATTGTTGTTACTTTTTTTTCATTTTTCAATTACTTATTTATTTTCTTCGTCATACTTTTTACTCTTATTCATTTTCTTTCTCCATCGTCATCAGTCTCGTCATTTTCCTTCATATTGACGACTGTATCGGCCTGACAAGTTTACAAGTGGAAAATCAATCATGACACATACAGAGCGGTTTCAATAATATTTGTAGTATTTATAGCACGGACTAAAAGGAATTTATTCTTATCAAATATGTATATCCACATACCATTCACAGTACACCTTTCATTTCAAAAATATTCTTCAACAAAATATTAATACAAACTAAAATGATATATTAATATTATTATTATTATTATTATTATTATTATTATTATTATTGTTATTATTATTATTATTATTATTATTATTATTAGTTATTATTATTATTATTATCATCAGAGAGGCTTCATAAAAATCTAAACTCGATATTATTTTGTTGTTTTGTTACGATAAATGGAAATTTGGCCCAGAGTCAGAAGAGCTTTGTCAATAACATGTTAAAACTCCAGTCAAAGTCATGGAAGCCCTGGAACTATTTTGCTAGATCTTTACTCGCAGCCTGTAAACTTTAACCAATACTTTGCTGACATTTTGCACACAGTCAGGAGAGCAATGTCAGCACTCTACTTAAGCTTAAGCTCTAGAAATTAGCGTTGAGTTGTGAGAAGCAGCTCTTGAAGGCGCGGCAACTTCTTTCAAAGCGTCTCCAAGCCAAGACTTCAGAGACAACTCTGAGACTAACTCTCTTTTGTCCAGCCAACGAAAATTTGTATAAGTGCACAGCTGGCATTTTATGATCGTGAAGACTAGGAAGGACTTGTGGATCTTTATTTAGCTTTTCCTTTATAGTATTTCTTTCTGATGATTCTTGTTCTACTGCTGAACACGTCAATAATATCGTCCAGTATACCCAATGAAAGTGTTCTAAAACTTTCCCTTCGTCATAAAATTATTTAATTCTTACCTATGACAATGCTGTAATTAACTTGAAAAAGGTTTATACAGCTATACTATTAAACACCTGAGTCACTCATAGACACTGAGCAACTAGCTAGACAAATATAAGAGTTGACGTCAAAGGTGTTATTAAGTTATGCAAATCAAACCCTGCATAATAGATGAGCCAGCGTACAGAATACCCCAAATAAGAGTCAACTATTCTCGTTCACCTTTAATACATTCACCTCTAACTTTAGTTGCCATACGTTCATTCATTCCTCTCAACCCACTTCATGGTTCAGTGTTTCCACATTCTCTTCATCTATTTCCTCAATTTTTTTCCCTCAAACTCAACCCCGCAGTAAGATGTGATGAAACTGGAGATACCTAGAATTTCTACCCTAAGAATTAAATAAAGAAAAATAAATAAACAAATAAACAAATAAATAAGTAATCAGGGAAGCTTTAAATGTTAACAAGGCTCCAGGCCAAGGTAAGGTTCCTTCTCTTGTGCTTAGTCTAAAGTCTAAGAATAAAAACAAAAGGCTGTCAAGTTTCGCATCACAAAAAAAGGTCAGCACATATATCTATTAACACAGATCATTTACACTTCAGACCTAAGCACAAAAGAGCAACATGTTGAAATTGCAATGCATCCTTTGTGTATTGTGTAAACATTCAAAAATTAAGAAGAGTCGAACTTTACTTAACGAGCGTGATGAATAGAACCAACTAGGCTTCCCGCATAATCTAGCTCACACAAAGAACGCCAGGACTAATTTGGCTAATTTTCTTCCCTTTCTTTTTTTATTAGGTATTTATTTTTACTGTGTCCACCTGCCTGTCTTAGTATCTTGTGCATTTATATTCATTATTTATTTTGTACTGTCTTACCTCCTCATTTTATGTTCGTAAGGTTCGCTACTTCAGATTCTTTATCCCTATTACTGTTTTTTAAATTTCTCTTTTCTAATCTCTCTCTCTCTTTCTCTCTCTCTCTCTCTCTCTCTCTCTCTCTCTCTTGTAAAGGTAATCCTGCATCAATGATTCAACACAACCTTCAGCGTCAAGTAACACAGGAAACGAGAGACCAACACCAAGCGATGACCGCAAGAAAGAATAATAAAATGATCTTCCTGGTGTTTACTCTTCTCACATCACCAGACTTTATCCCGGTTCGCTTAAATCATGTGGCACTTCTTGCCAATCGTCTTGAACCTTTGTTTGATAGAAGCATGAAAGACGAGATCAAAGAAAAGTTCAGTACTTTAGATGAAAGCAAACTTCAACAACATGGAGTGTCTTAAAACTTGTGTAGTTCAGTTATACATCCCCAGTATCTTAAAGCCGCTGAATTCCTTGCGCTCGTAAATATCTAAACGTGGCTCAGAATGTCATAGAAGTGCCACATCTCCTCACCTCTACAGTCTACAACACTATATTTTCCCAAGAGGTCCAGTTGTCGAGTAGAGCCAAACAATCTTCCACAGGCTAAAGACGATGATATAACCGAGACGTGGTGGATTCTGGTATGTCGTATGTAGGGATTCCCACTAGCAAAATAAAAGGTTTAAAGGAAGTAATCTGCAATCCACAACACAAGGATGCACAGACTTCTATTTGGAATCTTTTCCTATGAGCTTTCCTCAACAGTGAAATTTTTAAGGTGCAGAACTACGAGTACTTTTTTCATCATACATCGGACGACCTACCGTGTGCGAGGCAGTGTGAAGGACCACCAGAGAGGATGTCAGGGTGATTAGCACCTACCTGGAGTAACAAGTGGCAAATTTAGTGAAGGTCAGCGTCAAGTGACTATTGGGGGCGAGTGAGCTGAATAAATTAAATCACAGATAACCCTTGAGGCTAAGAATGAGACTTAATGTTTCGCATATCACTGTGTTACTACATCTGACTCTTTGTCCCTTCTAACTGTCTCTAACTCTCAATTTATGTATTTCTGGTGTTGAATAGTTTTCTTCTGTTTTATAATTCAATGTCAACCTTACTCTTGTACATTCGTTATATTCAATTTGAGTAAAATTTAGTATTGATATTTTATTATAATGGTTTACGTCCTTACGGTTCGACAGAAATACAGAAAAATGAAAATTAAACAAAATATATTTAGCTCTCTATATCCCTCTTCCAGCCAATTCACCATTAAGTTTAGTTCATTTTTCTATTAACTGTATACAAATTTGAGTTTAAGGAAAGAAAGGAAACTCGGTCGGACGTTCTCACTGACGGATTGAACAAGTCTTTGTGTATTCATTAATAGATTCACTGAGAGGGAAATATTTTCTCCGGGATGGTTCTCAAAAAAAAAATCATGGTTAATAGCTAATAGTCGACCACATGACCTTTATGACCGTGACCTGGGGATATGACTGACCTTAACCAACTCTCTCCCCTCCTGATGCCTCGACCCTTCAATACGGCAATATATAAAGTTATCAAATTCCCCCCAACTTGTCCGCCACTCTTCCTGTGCTCCTGTAGATGTATAATGGCGTCTTAACGAGGCCGCCTCCATTCCGCCAGCACACTCAAGCTCGTGCCATAAAACAACGCCTGAACGAGCTTTCAACAACGCCTGGCTTTTCCCTCAACCTCCAAAATGAAACGGTAATGGAAGCTACCTTAAGAGCAAGGAGCTTTCAACCTGCCTTCAACCACCACTGGCACCATTGTTAAGGTGTACAAGCGTGTGCTCTCTCTCTCTCTCTCTCTCTCTCTCCCTCTGGACGCTGGTGCAAGTCAGGGCTCCGAGGAACTACTGTACCTGAGTAATAACGATGAATTGTTTGTTACCTGTCTGTTATTAAGCTATACTATGTCTATTTCAGGAGTCAATCTGTGGCACAATTATCGCATGGCTTTGTACTAGAGTTTCAGGACTCCTTCACTTTGAAGTCACTATCAGGAATCCTTCACTATGACGCAACAGTATCAGGACTCCTCCACCTTGACGTCACTGTATGAGGACTCCTCCACTATGACGTCGCTGTGTCAGGACCCCTCCACCTTGACGTCACTGTATGAGGACTCCTCCACTATGACGTCACTGTATCAGGACTCCTCCACTATGACGCCACTGTATGAGGACTCCTCCACTATGACGTCACTGTATCAGGACTCCTCCACCTTGACGTCACTGTATGAGGACTCCTCCACTATGACGTCGCTGTGTCAGGACCCCTCCACCTTGACGTCACTGTATGAGGACTCCTCCACTATGACGTCACTGTATCAGGACTCCTCCACTATGACGCCACTGTATCAGGACTCCTCCACTATGACGCCACTGTATCAGGACTCCTCCACTATGACGCCACTGTATCAGGACTCCATCAGTGGCCAATCACAGTCTAAAGCAGTTACCCCAATTAGTCTAACTCAACAAACTCCTGGCTTAACTTCCGGGTTGTTCCTCTCTCCTACGGGCTTCGTGTTGTTGTTCCCGTCACTATTCATTACTTACACTGTGGAAATCTACTTCTCCTGGCTAGCTGTTCACCTGTCATATAAAGTTGGTAAGTTATTTCACCAACTAATATGATACCGAAAAGTGCATTGCCATCCTGCATAGATTAGGAGAGAGGGAAGAGAAAGAAAGGCACAGGGAAGACGGAAATGAGAGACAGAGGGAGAAGGAAAAGGGAAAAAAGAGAGATAGGGAGAGAGAGAGAGAGAGAGAAACCAGACGAAAGCGTACATCAAAAATGTCTCGCCAACACCATGATCACTGGATGTCATTTGCTCATACAAGTTTGAGACGCTTGTAGCCATTCCATCCGGCCCGAAACCTTTCAATTCCTACCACAATATGTTTGATCTCTCAATATTGCTCCATCAACCGGCTTGCTCCGCCGTTTACCGGAATCATTTTGTTCACTGTCAATAATTGTGCCCTTCACTGTAGAAATTTTCCGGTCACTGTGAGGGGAATTTACCGAAAAAACAACAACTGAATAACAGAATGGCCGACTGTACATTCCGACTTTCACCGACAAACTGCAAATTTTATCGCTCACTGGAAACGTCAACCTTCACATCGCGTCACTGGAAACGTTACCTTCAATGTATTTTTCGTACGGAAAGCTGTGAACGGCTGTCGAATGTACATCTCTGGGTCAACAGCTATTCCGGCTGGTAGTGGTAAGCTATTCCGTCGGCTGATCAGAGTGGACACTATCCGAAACCATGTTGTGATCGTCTCGTGTCGAATTACATGTTTGTAGTCAACAGTCTGTGTGTTGTTTATCGTTAACAAACTAAAAGCTGAAGCTATTTATTTCTTTTATCTATGTTCTCTTTATTTATGTCCTGTCCTCGTGAAGCTGTATCAATTTATCTCTTTCTCTTGTCTGCCTGCCTCTCTCTCTCGCTCGCTCTCTCTCTCTTGCTGTCCGTCCATCTCTGCCTGTCTGTCTGATTTGTCTCTCTTTTACTCTCCACCCGTTTCTATTTCTACCTTTTTCTCTGTCTGTCTGTCTATGTCTGTCTGTCCTCTTTCTCCCTCCCTACTCCGCTTGTTAGCCACCATCGTCGAGTCCAGTGGACAAAGCGTTTCAGGGACTTCATCTTGTGTATGCAGCATCAGGCAACGTCCAGCACTACAAGGTCTAAGCTGGCCATTGAGACGAGCAGCCAGGAAGACCCAATATTCTGGACCGAGATGTGACTGGTAGGAAGGCCAACATTCTGGTCCAAGAGCGTACGGGGTAACTAGTCTCTGGAGGTCCATGGTGTTTGAACCAGACAAGAAAGATGTCACGCAGAGCCTCAGACCGACATTTCCATAAGCTAAAATTATTGAACAGCATATTAACGCCTGATAGAATTTTTTTCTACGGTATGGCTGAACAAAAATCAAAGGGGCCAAACCATAAGACATGATGGTGATAGAAGCAAGAGGAATGTGGAGTGTTAGACATTTTGACTTCTTTTTGGGAGTAGTTTTTCTTCCTTTTTATTTTTAGTTTCTCATTGACACGATGTGATATACCCGACATAGTGAGGTAAGATGGATGTGAGACAAAGGTTGACTGGGGGGAGGGACAGGACTCTCGTTGCGTTTTGGTCTAAGATGTGCTGATAGGGCGACTGATAATTTGGTCTGTCATGCGTTGGCCAATATCCCAGTTTGAGATGTGAGAACTGGTTGGTCATTCCGTAGACTGACATATGTCGGCAGGAGAACCAACGACTTAAGATGTGTGTCAACTGATCAGAGATATGGAAGCTGGTTGGCTTTATTCTGTTCCGGGTATTTTGGTGGGTGCAGCTTCCGTAATGTGTGTTTAGTGTAGATGTGTTACTCTGTCTTGTCATCGTTTATATGAGATTGGCAACAAAATCCTTATAGCAAGTTGGCCAGTTCTTATTGTGTAAAGTGAGAGATGTGTTAGTTGGAGAGTGCTAATTCATTAATCTGTGATGTGTTGGACCGGTGACATAAACTTGTCTTTGATGTTCATTTAAGACCATCAAGAGCTGCTTTGTGATGTGCAGCTTAAGGCTTCAAGTGCAAATTCAACGAGATTCTCTAAAGTGAGATGTGTAGGTAACTGAGCACACCATATTCTTAACCGAGATCTGCAAGAGAGATTCACAGTTTATCCGGAGATGCGCCTCAGTATCTGCTAAAGCCTACTGAAGTTCGAGATGTGTAGTTGGGAGTTGTTAAGTGAAGGTCAAAGATGTGCAAATATCGCCATGACCCTTTCACATATACAAGGTCAAGACACCAACGAGACTTCAGAGGTAAACTCCCCAAGGTCTCGTCCATTCTCCCGTGGAAGAGTTATGAAAATTCCTCCAGGGATTCGGTATGTAGAATATATGTACAACAAAATAAACACCCGCTTGAGAATGTAAACATGACAAAATTCGTCTGGGAAATATATTTCTGTAAGTGTAAACAGGCTGCCATGGACAGGAAAATGGGAAATAATAATAATAATGTCTAGGATTCTATTATTCCATCTGGTCGTCCGTGTATAAGTAACTCTCTGACCCGACCCTCGCTACACTCGACATGTAAAATGATGGTCCTCCCAATATGGTTCTAAGGCGGATGAAATTAAGGAGGCGCATTAAGAAACGTAACAAGTACATCATATGCCCGCCAACAATGATCAAAGAGGGAGACTCCAGAGATTTGCCAGTCATCATAAACTCTAGTAGGTCGATTATATAAAACTATCTGTGCTTGTGGAGTCGATGAATTTCAGAATGAACATTACGACTCTTGTTGTCTCGATAGGGTCGTTAAAATCTTTCGATCACTGGCGGTCCACTAGTACGTGTAGAGACCTGTTGCTTGGTGTCCCAACTCACATAAGGCTCACTGTTACGTTCCCGTTTGGTCAGTAATATCACTTAACACTGACGTTTATTTTCCCGTTTTCTGTCTCGAGAAAGTCCAGGCACGTCACTGTCACTTGATTCACTCAATAATGTCTAAAATAACCGTAATAAACACTGGGACAATGTAGTACATCCAAAAGTAAACAATGGAGCACCACACAAAACAAAAAGGAGCCTCACGAGTGAATGAAATATCCTGATTGGCTCGGCTAGGCAAAGTTTAGTTCCGCTAATTTATTGATAAAAATATTCATAAACTTAAGGAAGAATATTACATTGTTCAAATAAAATTTATAAACATTAAAACACAATTTCAAGTGACAAGAACTCAATCAGTTCAGTTCAATCGCAATTACATTTACAGTTTTATCATTTATTCATTTACGTAACACCTACAGAGTTTCTAGGCATATATTACCACGTACGCAAAACAGTCTGAGGACAAAAACAAAAGAACTTACAAATTACAGAACTGAATTAAGCCGGTAATAACTTTTTTCTCTCCTAGGCGACTTAAACGGCAACAATATAACCATCTCCCAATTACTCTCCCCGTTGCCGTTCTTATAATATCTCCCTTAATTCTCCCCACATCTCCTCCCTTGTCCTCTTCCTATACACCCTCCCTCCCCCAGAATTAAGCCTCCACCCCCCCCCCCCCTTCTGCCCACCCATCGGGATGTTTACGCGGGGCGACACAGCAACTTGATGGCGACATTCCCCAGGGAGACAGCACACGGGAGGTCCCGGCCAGACCAGTAATGACTACATTTGTCTCTCCCTCAGCCATCACTGTTCATGACTACCCCGCTCTCACACGGGGCCAAATGCAATGGGAATTGTGCCTCCCAAAATTATGTAGATTTTCTTCCTCTTTCACTTGCCTCCAGAGAAAAAAATAATTGCAAATACAGTTGGGATAAAAATGTAAATGACTGGGGTATATATTAGGCAAGAAAAATTAGTCGTTGTTAAGGATAAAAAAAAATATTGTGAGTTGTTAGTGAATGAACCTTCAGTTTCACGTAAACATAACAAGAACAAAAGAAATTTACTGTTGGCATAAAATTAACCAACAAAAAGAAGAAACAATAATGTCAACATGAAGACCGCAAACAAGAAATTGGTGGGCCTATTTATTTTTGGTTCACAAAAAAATATATAGATGAAAATATAAATATTGTAAATTTACATCTTTAGTGTTGTCTGGTTTAATTAACTATAATTTTGTTGCAATAACCTCCCAAAATATTCTGAAGCGTTGATCTTTGACAACAAATGGCCATGTGGTGGACGGATCCATTAGTCGTGTTAAACTGAGAAAGTCATAAGAGGAAATATATACAGATGAACTTGGTCCTTATTTAGTGACTAACATTATAAATAAATAAAGCACAATTGATATGACTAAAATGATCCAAGTACAGCCATGAATATTCAACTTGAACCAACACAATTTGCATACCTGCCGTGCCATAATGTCTACTGAACGCCAGAGTTGGAGTCATAGTAAAGACACAAGTCTTCACTATACTATCTCACCATGAGGCGCTCCTGCAGCGCTGCCAGTGGATAAAGTTATTTGGTAATCCACGACTTGTTGTCACTGAAGGAATGACGTCTCGTGGTTTCATAACTAAGACGTTGATTCTATCTTTTTATTTGTTAAATGTTACAAAATACAGCCAACATTATGTAGCGAGAGCGATTTAATAAAGATATTAAAACGGAAAAGCTGTAAAGAACACACACCTCCCACTGCACTAGCTGAGTAAACCATCTCCTAAGAACTTGTCCCTAAGAAGATTAACACACAGTTCCCTCCCGCAGTTTAGGACCACGGAAGCCCCCAATAGCCTCGAGAGGTTTCTATAAGAATGATCATCAAACACAATCAATAAAAAGTACTTTCCCTCACATCCCTACAAGCAAAATCAAAACCCAAAAGTGAAAATATTCATAAGAATACTCGGCCTCTTACTGTGCCACACAAACAATGTTCCATAGATCCTAAACACTCATGACGTTAGCTCACTATACAAATGAGTGACCAATAATATAATATAAAAAGAATAAGGTACTTCATATAAATTTATTACCTACGAGATCTAAGGCAGAGAGACAAGTGATACATTTCAGGAGAGTAAAGTTCACTTGAAAC